ATGTTAAGATTATAGACAGTATATTTAGAGACGATTGCATAATAATAATCAATCACTAACAACTCCACTAAAGCAAGATAATATAAACTCTAACAAACAAGAGTGTGAAATAAGCAGGAGAGAAGGCAAATGATAGCTTCTAATGTAAAGAGTTGTGTTAAAAACAAATACTACAAGAGTTTCTCATTTATAGGTTTCCAGCCGAAGTGGCTACCATTGGATTAGAACTGTGGCGACATCTCCCACGTTGTATACAAATCATTTAGTTTGCTATGCATTTAATAAATTGGCAAAGGGTCAGCAATCTTATGTCCTATGCTGATAGTTTTGACATTTATTAAAAAAAAATGTTACATCAATCATTCCTAAATATTGCCCACATATAATTTAAAAAATAGTAAGGGTTTCGACTAAAGGGAGCTACGGATATAGGGACAGTTTTAGCAAATTCAGAGAGAGCTTTTGCCGACAGTGTGATGAATTTCGGAGCAAGGAGCATTAGCTTCTCTTTTGATCTATTTTCTAACTGATTGCTGACTTTACACTCTATATAGTTTGTAACATGGTGTTTGATTGGAGCCTCAGTGGTGAGACATAACATCAGCTATTATTCCCAGAGGCAGCACTACTTCAAGCCATTCCATCGCCATATCTTTTTGACCTCTTCCCTAAATAGCCAATTAAAAAACTTGTGAAAATGGAATAATCCATTGCTATCACTAGCCATTTTGGGCTTTGGTCCATTGCGAAATACGTAGTTATTCGATGTTGGGAAAATTGGGTACAATACCCTAAAAAAATTAAGTATTTGATTAATACCTTAAAACTAATCAAAACTACTATTACCATATTAATTACATTCATACCATTAACACCCACAACAAAAATCCAAATAAGAAGGAAAAATTGCTGAATCAGATAAGTTTTGAGAAACCTTTAATCCGACTTTAGCTCCGACTTCGACTCAAATGTTCTTGTAGAGTAAAACCTCAAATGTATTATAAATTTGTTGAGATGGTGAATATATTATAATTTCTTCAAAAGAATTGCATTAAGTATTGCTTTTTATCCTTTTTTTTATTTGTTTTTCCTTCCACTGGCTATATGGTAGTAAGTCAAAGTATGTTATTTAAAAGCTCAATGAGATGGGTATGGTTTCAGAGAAAATCTTATAAATCTGTAAATAGTTTGATTGATTGGATATTGGCAACTGTAGAAAGATTACCCTTGTTGATCTTATGGAAAGTCATCATGGATTTTCAATGGGGGCCTTCAAATTTAAGCAAACAATGACATTCAGGGTATCTGCAAGCTATTTTGTCTCACATTCAACAATGACAACAAGAAGTTATAGAAACTGATAATAAAGTCTGGCAATCTTTGCAGCTCAAAAGTTTAATCAACTTTTTGATGATAAAGTTTGTGTTTAAATGCATTAAAAAAATTGCACTTAATTTTAGATTAGCTCCAGAATGACACTCTTTCCCTTTGATTTTCTAAGATATCATCAAGGTGTTTGACAAAATGTCTAAATTGGAATTTACACTTAACAACATGTTGTATTAAAAATAAACATCATATGGCTTTTATATAAATTGTAGAAGCATTGATAAATGTGTTTTTATACACCTATTCAAGACGCAAAACATGACTACATTGTGTTAATTATAGTTGGAATGTAGTTTAAGTCTATGTAATTTTGTTTTGTAGGTTATATTGATGGATGTTGTGAAAGTCAATGGAAAAGATGCGAAGTCGGGCCAAAATGACAGAAAATGAAAGTTCAATGACTAAATTGCAAATAGGAAAAAGTTAAACTAAAAGGTAAATTAAGAACGCAAATAAGTTGAGTATCAACTTGGGGATAATGTGGGATGATCAAAGGAAGAAAGACAAGAAAAATGACCAAAACAAAGAAAAATGAAAGTTTACGGATTAAAGGGCAATTATCCAAAGATGACCCAAAGGATTAATTGAGAATTTGATTGAGCCAAGTACCAATTGGAGACCACTATTGATTTGTGGAATGAAAAGAATGAAGGAACGAGGTCAAAAATTGAAGAAAACAAGTTCAAGGACCAAACTGGCAATTGTTGGATGTTTCTACTACTATGCGACTACATAGTAGTAATGCCATGCGGTCGCATGCATGGCATCTGAGAGTTTAAAGCCCAGAATTTTTTCATCTATGCGGTTACATAGACCAAAGTCGAGGTTGAAATTTGTAGTTTCCTGTTTTTGTTAAAACTCTTGTGGAACTTTGTTTAGACGTGATATATAAACCCTAAAACTGTTAGATAAAGGGTAGAATGTCTGGGGAAGAAGGAGAACTCATATTGGAGAGGATTTCATGCCATAATTACAAGGAAAAATGCAAAAATTAAGAAGATTTCTAGCCAATTCATTCACTGGTGATGCCGTTCTTACAACTATTATGTATTTTGTTCTTTTCTCCATGTTAGGCTAGGTTTTCATGTACTAGGGGATCAATGACCCTTGTGATGTGATCTTTAATTCTTTATTTGATGATTTTGACATTAAAATTCATTTTGATTTATTTAGAATGGTTTATATGTACTTATTTTCTCCACGCTTGTTATGCATGTAATTTGCGTGAGTTTTGTGAATTATTCTTGTGTTTGAGAGAAGTAGAATAGGTTCGGTATGGTATAAACCATCGTAGGGTCCGATATGGGATAGAGATATACCGATATGCCCTATATAAATATTTAAGTGCTCATAAAACTGCATGCATTCTTGTACATTTGCATCCGTCATAGAAATATAAGCTGATGTTATATGAGAATAGTTTTAACGCTGCTCGAGAGAGGGTGTTGGATATATTTAGGAGCATTGATTTTTCAAGATCTCATCGTGTTGTCAAATTTTGAGATTAGGGTTAAATTGGACATTGCTCGAGAATTCGTAATCCTAGTGCATTAAACATTTATTAAGTACAACCAATTTGCGTTCCAAATGGTTAATTTGCATTCTAGTTCATTGAAACATCATTTTTCATATTTAGTTCATTCAAATCTTAAACAATTGTAGAAATTAGGGTTATCTTGAGATTAGGGTTTTCTTAGGTTAAAAATTCATTCTCGATAATATTGTTTTAGCTAAGGCTAGAGTAGGTAAAATTGTACTACTTAATCTCTGTAGGACGATATTCGAAACTCTAAATTTCAATTCATTACTTGTTGTGAAATGTACACTTGCGGTGGTTTAAATCGAAATAACAAGTTTTTGGCATCGTTTCTAGGGATTGAGTATTTGTTTAATCTTATTTATATTGGCACTAATATAAACGTTAATCTCTTCATTCTATTATGCTATTCTCATTTCATGTTGTTATTTGAATTATTCCAATATCTAAGTGTTATTGCTGATTTTTGTCGTAGAATTGCATGTTAAGATCTACTGGAGCCTAATTCCAGCTGATCTAAAAATAGAACGAACTTTACATCGAATGTAGTGAAAAACCAGAGAAGCACAACAACAAATGGTTAATGTACTGAACAATCCCACCTTTTGCCAATGAAAAAGGGGCAGCGGAAGAAGGCAAATATGCTTGTAGGATATTTCATGATTCCTCAGATAATTCAAAGCCAATAAAGCATCGTGTATCCACCGTTTGGATAGCCTAACTTTCAATTGAAGACCAACATGATACAACTATTTTAAAATGGATATAAATTCTATGGCAGAGCTGAAGAGATCCCACATACGCATGTCTCTCACCTTTTAGAGATGTGTCAACCCTTCAAGTATCAAGGAATTTCAGATGATGCTATCAAAATAAGGCCGTTCCCAAATACACTGTGTGACAAGGCAATAAAATGGCTGGATTCGCAACCAATCGCCTGCATTACTACATGGAATGATTTAGCACAGAAATTTTACACCAAGTTTTTCTCGTTCGCCAAAATTACAAAGCTTAAGCATGACATATTTGTTTTCTGTCAAGGTGACTCAGAGAACTTTGATGAAGCCTGGAATAGGTTCAAAAATATGCTGCGAAAGTGTCCACATCAGGGGATTAGCAAGGGACTCCAAGTCCAATACTTTTACACAGGATTACTTTCAGCCTTCATGAGCATGGTTGACTCTTCATCTAACAGATCACTATCCACAAAAACAATTAATGAAGCACTAAAACTATTTGAGACAATGGCTGCTACATCAGCTATGTGGACATCAGAACGACTAATTCAGAAGAGAACACCGGGAGATTATGAAGTGGACACATATTCTACCTTGTCTGCAAATATTGATTTATTATTTCACAAGGTGTAAAACATATCACAATTAGCTAACATAGCACAGACGAAGAAGGTCAGTTGTGAGGAATGTGGAGCTGAACATGTAACTATAGAGTGTCCAATCTTGGTACAAGGAATAGAGCAGACAGATTTTGCTCAGTGGGGATAACGCTAGCAAAATAATTCATTTGGAAAAACATACAATCCAAGTTGGAAAAAGCAACCTAACTTCTCGTGGAGCAACCAAAATCAGAATAGGCCACATGGCCAGTATCAGCAGCAAGAGAAAAAGCCTCAATTGGAAGAGATGTTCGAAAAACTCATGGAAAAGACTAATCAGTACATGGAAGCTAATAATCAGTTCATGAGAAAAATCGAAGCCACTCTTTAAGATCAAAATGTCGTATAAAAAATCTGGAGACTCAAATGGGACGGATGGCAGTTTCTTCAATTGATAGAGCACCAGGTAGTTTGCCAAGCAACATGGAAATAAATTCAAAAGAATATGCTAAGACAATTACAACTCAAAGTGGAATGCAGCTACTAGAAATACACATCAAAAGGCCAAGTGTAAATAGAGAAACAACAATCCTACAAAAAGAGACTGTAGAGCATGATAAGCAGATAAAAGAATCTATCCCAACGGAAGATTCAGGCACATCATATGATAAAGCAATAGTAATCATCAACTCTCATGAGCCTCCCATTCCATTTCTACAGAGGCTAAAGAAGTAGAAGATGGAGCAGCAATATAAAAAGTTTCTCAAAGTTTTCAAGAAGCTTTACATAAACATCCCATTTGTCGAAACACTAGTCCAGATGCCTAGCTACGTAAAATTCCTGAAAGACATCTTGTCAAACAAACGTAAGCTAGGAAAACATGAGATGGTCATGCTAACTGAGGAATGCTACGTCAGGATTCAGAAAATGATTCCACCAAAATTGAAAGATCCAAAGAGTTTCACTCTCTTTTGTACTATTTGTGAAGTATATTTCGATAATGCTTTATGTGATCTTGGTGCAAGTATAAATTTAATACCTCTGTCTATTTTCAGGAAACTTGGATTGGGAGAGGCTAAGGCTACCACTGTAACATTGCATTTAGCTGATAGATCCTTGACACATCCACGAGGGATAATTGAAGACGTGCTGATCAAAGTGGAAAAATTCATCTTTCCTGCGGATTTTCTCATTTTGGATATGAAGGAAGACAAGGATATTTCACTGATATTGGGTAGACCTTTCTTTACCATAGGCACAACTCTGATTGATGTTCATAAAGGACAGTTGCTTCTATGATTGAGAGAATAATAGATTACCTTTAATGTCTTTAAGGCGATGAATCGACTTACAGAGTTAGCTACTTCCATATCGACATGATTGAAAATGTGGTTCAAGATTCATTTCTACTACATAATCTGTCAAATGCTTATGAGGCTTGCATTTCAAACTTTCAGTCGACACATTCTGATTCTGCGGAGATGGAAACATGTGCTAGCTTTTTGGATACCAACCCAACTTATACACGCATAAGGTATTTTGAGAAGCTTGGAATACGACCCGAAAAGCCACTACCATCCATTCAGTAGCCACCTAAATTGGAACTCAAGCAAATGCCACCACATCTCAGATATGCCTACTTGGGAGAGTATTGTACACTTTCGTTTATTATCTCAAACACAGTCAGCGAAGTAGAAGAGGAAAAACTGCTTAGGGTACTCAGGAAAAATAAAATAACGATTGCATGGACTATAGTAGATATCAAAGGGATCAGCCCTTCACTATGTATGCATAAGATTCTCATAGAGGAAAATTTCTACCCAACCATAGAGAGTCAAAGGAGGTTGAATCCAAATATAAAGGAAGTGGTCGGAGTAGAGGTACTCAAGATTCTAGATGCAGAAATCATATATTCAATATCAGACAGTGCATGGACTAACCCAGTTCAAGTAGTGCCAAAGAAAGATGGAATCATGGTAGTGCCAAATGAGAAGAATGAGCTAATTCTTACCAGAATAGTGACGGGATGGAGGGTTTGCATTGATTACCATAAACTAAATACAACTACAAGGAAAGATCATTTTCCCTTCCGTTTATTGATTAGATGCTAGAAAGATTGGTAGGCCACTCACATTACTGCTTCCTCGATGGGTACTTAGGTTACATTCAGATACCAGTGGCACCAGATGACCAGGAGAAAACAACTTTCACCTATCCTTATGGTACCTTGCATACCCTAGGATTGTCCTTCGGCCTTTGCAATGCTCCTACCACATTTCAGAGGTGCATGCAATTTTTTCAGACATGGTAGAGAAGTTCATAGAAATATTCATGGATGATTTCTCGATCTTTGGGTCTTTGTTTGAAGAGTGTTTGGAGCACTTGGATTTGGTCTTACAAAGATACATGGAACTAATTTGGTATTGAATTGCGAGAAATGCCACTTTATGTTACAGGAGGGGATTTTGTTAGGACATCGAGCACCAGCAAAGGAAATCGAAGTGGACAAAGCAAAGATATAGGTCATTGAAAAGCTACCACCACCTACATTAGTTAAGGGTGTTTACTATTTTCTGGGACATGTTGGATTTTACAGAAGATTCATCAAGGACTTTTCGAAACATTAAGCCACTATGCAACCTATTGATGAAAGACGTGCTGTTTGAGTTTAATGAGAAATGCCTGATAGCTTTCAACACTTTGAAGGAGAAACTCATGTCAACATCGATAGTTGGAGCACCAGATTGGGAATTATCCTTTGAACTAATGTGTAATGCCAGTGATCATGTTGTGGGTGCAGTATTAGGATAGAGAAGAAATAAGGTTTTTCATATGATTTACTATGCAAGCAGAACACTGAATGATGCTCAAATTAATTATGCAACCAATGAAAAGAACCTATTAGCTATGGTATATGCATTCGACAAATTCAGGTCATATCTTTTGGGGTCCAAGGTCAATCTACACAGATCATGTCGCACTGAAATATCTGATGACAAAGAAGGATGCTAAGTCCATCCTACCGCCAGATTACTCAAGTCACCAGAGGAAAAATTTCTTTGCCGAACTGAAGTACTACTTCTGGGAAGACCCATTCTCTATAGGCGTGGGGCAGATTAGATTATAAGAAGATGTGTGCCTGAAGAAAAAGTTCCTAAGATTCTGGAGCATTGCCATTCATCTGCTTATGCGGGACATTTTGGAGCTTCAAAGACTGGTGTGAAGATTTTTTAGTTAGGGTTTTAGGGGCTTACATTGTTGATAGATGCCTTTTTTGAATTTATCAAGAGATGTGATAGATGTCAATGCACTAGGAATAGCTCAGGGAGGAATGAAATGCCACTAAACAATATCTTGGAAGTGGAACTATTCGATGCTTGGGAAATTAACTTTATGGGTCCGTTCCCTCCATCGTTGTCCAACTAATACATCGTGGTAACAGTTGACTATGTATCAAAACTGGTGAAAGCAGCAGTATTTCCAACCAACAATGCTAAGGTGGTAATTGGATTTCTAAAGAAGTACATCTTCACCTGTTATGACACACCGCAGGCTATAATCAGTTGTGGGGCCAAACATTTCTACAATCACCAGCTTGAGCAGCTCTTGAGTAAATATGGCATTAAACATCGAGTAGCCACCCCATGTCATCCTCAAACTAGCGGGCAAGTTGAAGTCTCAAATCGCCAGTTGAAGATGATACTTGAAGTCACAATGAGCTCTTCGAGGAAAGATTGGTCTAAGAAGTCGGACGATGCATCGTGGGCTTACATAACAACATTCAAGACACCCATAGGCATGTCTATCGCGATTGGAGTTTGAAGAACCAAAAAAGTCAATGGATATCAACGAGATTTTTCCAGATGAATAGATGTTTAGTGTAGAAAAAGCACCGTGGTGTGTAGATATTGTCAACTATTTGGCTAAGTCCATCCCACCGCCAGATTACTCAAGTCACCAGAGGAAAAATTTCTTTGTCGAACTAAAGTACTACTTCTGGAAAGACCCTATTCTCTATAGGCGTGGGACAGATCAGATTATAAGGAGATGTGTGCCTGAAGAAAAAAAATGCTCGAGATTCTGGAGCATTGCCATTCATCTACTTATGCAGGACATTTTGGAGCTTCAAAGAGTGGTACGAAGATTTTACAGTTAGGGTTTTAGGGGCCTACATTGTTCATAGATGCCTTTTTTGAGTTTATCAAGATATGTGATAGATGTCAACGCACTAGGAATACCTCAGGGAGGAATGAAATGCCACTAAACAATATCTTAGAGGTGGAGATATTCGATGCTTGGGAAATTGACTTTATGGGACCGTTCCCTCCATCGTTGTCCAACCAATACATCCTAGTAGCAGTTGACTATGTATCAAAATGGGTGAAAGCAGCAGTATTTCCAACCAACAATGCTAAGATGGTAATTGAATTTCTAAAGAAGTACATCTTCACCTTTTATTACACATCGCAGGCTATAATCAGTTATGGGGGCAAACATTTCTACAATCACCAGCTTGAGTAGCTCTTGAGTAAATATGGCATCAAACATAGAGTAGCCACCCCATGTCATTCTCAAACTAGCGGGCAAGTTGAAGTCTCAAATCGGCAGTTGAAGATGATACTTGAAGTCACAATGAGCTCTTTGAGGAAATATTGGTCTATGAAGTTGGACGATGCATCATGGGCATACATAACAGCATTCAAGACACCCATAGGCATGTCTCCATTCTTCCTTATTTTTGGGAAAGCATGCCACTTACCACTTGAGTTAGAGCACTGGGCATATTAGGCAATGAAACAGTTGAATATAGATTTGAAAGCAGCCAATGAGAAGCGTCTGTTACAACTTAGTGAATTGGATGAGTTCAGAATGGAAGCATTTGAGAATTCAAAACTCTATAAGGAATGTACCAAAAAGTTACATGATTTACACATTCAAAGGCGAGAATTCAAAGTGGGTTAGAATGTGCTACTATATAACTCGAGACTCAAACTCTTCTCGGGCAAATTGAGGTCAATGTGGTCAGATCCCTACACTATTATGAAGGTGCTACCAAATGGGGCTATTGAAATTTGCCATGAAAGCAAATGAACCTTCACAGTCAATGGACAGAGGCTGAAGTACTATTAGAGTGGAGAATTTTCCAAAGAAAAGTCCACCGTCCATCTCAATACACCAGAATGAAGTAGACACTAGAGAAACGAGCTATCGACTATAAACTAGCGCTTGGTAGGAGGCAACCCATTGTATCCTTTTGATTATTTGTTACATTAACTTAGAAATTCTTCAATTTTACGATTGAATTTTAGATATTTAGGTCATCGATCATCTATGTATGTCACATGGAGTCGAAGCATGTTCCATACACGCCCCACTGCATTGATCACAATTCAGGAAGTTCAAATTTGTATTTTGGTGGTTGGGAAGAAGTCTCACACAATTCTATGCAAATACTGTGATTTTTAAAACTTTTTAAGGATCAAGGGTGATTTCAAAATTAAAAAGTGGTTTGGAACTAAGTCTATGACCTATACTTATCCCATGTGGTTTCAAATGTGTTTTTTTAGTAGGTGAAAAGCCATATCGAAGTCACAATTTAAAAATTGAGATTTTGGGAAAAGAAATTGACAAAATTTTGGTTGAAATTTTTTTTAATTGTTGTCCACATGCATCTAAAAAAAAATTGGTGCAACAGGTAGTCTATGCGACCGCACAGACATACCTGCCTTGCGATTGTATGGCAGGATGCAGGGCCTAAAATGGCCCTGCTATTTTGATCTATGCGACCTCAAGCATCAACTCTATGCGGTTACATAGAGCAATAAAAAAAATGGTTTTATAAGACACATGCACAAACAAGACACTCACACACTAAAACACATGAGTCCCTCTCCACAACCTCTCAACTCATGACCACCTACACTACCCACAACCCATCACAAACAACACAATTCATTACTCACATCACAACATCATTTAGCATTCAGTTGGTGGTAGTATTCATTATTCCAAATTCCCACAATTTTGCAAGGTAAGTTTTCTAAACACTATTCTATCAATTTCAAAATTGGGGATATTTTGATTTTTGAATTTTGATTTTTTGAATTTGATAGAGTTTGGGTGTTGTTGTGATTGTGAGTGTTTTGTGAAAAAAGGATCTAGATTATAAAGTATCAATTGCCAAAGTCAAGAAATTCCCATTATGCACACAAGGTGTTTGATACAAATCCTAAGTGACGGGTTTTGTGAAATTTTGTGAAGGTTGCATTGGTGGTAATCAACATTGATATAGTATTGAGTATTATGATAGATGTGTAGAAAAATTAGGTGGAAAAGCATTGAACTTCAAATTGCACACATGTAGGCATGACATGGCTAAGTCACTGCACCTCACGTCACCCACTTGGCCTCATAATCTGACGCCCCAAACGACGTCCAAATGACCCAAAATTTGAATATGTGCTCGACTAAATTTAATACTTCCATACGCCCAAAGATCGTTCGGGAAAATTTCAATGTTTCTCGACGGTGCCCAGCGTGAAAGTCCTAAGTCGATCATGGGTGCATGATTGAGCTAAGTTTTGTTGGTGTTTAGCATTTTCATGATACAAAGTCTATTTCGAGACATATTAGCTATTTTTTGCACACCAACTTGGTACAAGGGCACATTGAAGGATGTTTGGGAGGGTTATGTTTTTATGTTCGTTTCGTCATTCCTTATCACTATCCATTTACACGTAGTGTTCTAATACGCTATTATACACTTTTGCAGGATGCAACCTAAAAGGGTGTCGAATGGCAAGCAAAAAGTGGGATCTTCATCGGGGACCGCACATATCAGAGAGGTCCAAAAGGGGCATAAGAAGATTTCTCACACCTGAGAATGCATCCCGTTTTTCAAACACTATTAGCCATTAGGCAACAATTCTAGAAAGGCTCGTCAATCTCGATGATTTTCCCGATTTTGAGATAGTCACATTAGTCCAACGCTGTGGATGGGAAAAAGTGGTGGAATGACCTCAATTAATTTATGAAAGCCTGGTTAGGGAATTTTAATCGAACTTCAATGCTGAAATAGATACTCCAGGGTCAGCTCATCTACATCAAACATGGGTGAGAGGAAAATGGATTATGTTCTCACCAGTGGTTATACATGATTATTACTAGCTAGATGGAACGACGTGGTCCTTATCTTGGGAAATTTTAATTGGAATGAATTAGCCAAGGTACTCTTGGGACGAGAAAATGCTTGACCCCTCCTCACAGCAGATCGGTACTAGATTGAGTTCACGCCATCTATAGCCATCCTATGGCTTTTCATATGTCACAATATTGAGTCCATCTCACATAGGACAATTTTCATGAATCTGAAGGCAGGGTTCATTTATCATCTAGTCCAGGGAAATAAGATTGATCTGGCCACCTACATCTATAATGAAGCACACACAATTGGAATATGGGGAGATAGACATAGTTCAATGATATTCTTAAGCCTAATGAACGGGATTTGTAGGGTTGTCGGTGTCACCATCCCATCAAGGGAAGCACCTGAGAAGCCCAGCCCTTTCATCAAGCACACTACACGGGAGGCTCAGGATTGAGCTGAGCCAGGGAAAAACATCAAGAAAAGATAGAGAACGAATGGCACAGGCGGTGACAGGCCGAAGCAGGACAAGCAGCCGAAAATATAGAGATGCCACAAGCTCCTCCACCACCAGTTGATGTCGATAAATAGTTATTGAGGAAGATGTTTGCTATTATGATAGGATCTAGTCGGGACATTCAAAGCCTTCAGCAAGCATTTGGGGCTA